TCAGTTCTGCTTTACGGTTGTGAGACCTTGAATTTGCGGGTAGAAGACACCCGTCGTTTATCAGTGTTCGACAATTCATGCTTACGTAGTCTGGTCCAAGTGGGATGGAGTGAGCGGGACAGTAACTTAGACGTTAGTCGTCGGGTGTTTGGGAATGCATCAGACAACAACTCGTCTCACCGAATCCAGCTCAGTAGGCTCCGTTGGTTAGGACACGTTTTGCGTATGTTCGACGGTCATCTACCGCAGCGCGCCTTGTTTGCAGTGGCTGTTACAGACTGGAGAAAGCCACGTGGAGGCCAGCAGATGACTTGGAGACGAGGCATGAAGAAATGCACAGAACGATTAGGTAAAGTAGGTGTCTCTTGTCTTCCGGGTTGGGGTCCAAAAGACTCCGAAATCGTATGGTTGGAGACACTGAAGGTCATGGGTGCGAACCGACAGCAATGGCNCAATCACTGTCTTCCTTACTCATTCTCACTTATCTTGTATGCATTATGAGTTTGGCAGAGATCAGTGAAGTTCGTTTCACTGTATTACGCTGTGTAATGATGATGATGATGGATGTCACGGCGGCGCCAAAGGTCTCGCAAGTTGACGAAAGCTGCTCTAACCTTCGCTATTTGTGATGTAATCTCCTCTCCAACACCACCACCAGCTGCAGTCAAGTTCTCGAGTTACTTAGAGCTCTCAACCACTTCTGACTGATTACCACAGAGGGTGAGTGAAGGCATAGGCTCCTACCAGTCTTGAACACAAGCAATTTGCAATTGGAAGGTGCAAAGCACATACCCCACTTGAATACTTCTATTGACAAGCGGTTCAGAGCGTTTTGAACTGCCTGTGTATCGTCACCCAGCAAGGTGATGTCATCAGCATATTCCAAGTTAAGGACTCTGTTCCCCGGGAGGAGTTCGACTGCAGCGTTTGGTAGACCGGACAAAGCATTCTGTAAAACATCCTCCATGGCGAAGTTGAAAATGAGTGGGGATATTAGGCAGACTTGTCGGTTTGATAACTGGCATCGTCGTTATGATTAATCCTCTCAGAATATTGCTGTACCATGAATCCATCGACATATCTTGGAGGAAACCCGAACTATTATCGAGAAGAAATAACACTCTGAAGGAGATCGTGGCTACCAGTTTTCGCTTCTCTATCCTTGGTAATACTACTCCACAGGCGTATACTCAGTTGTTCGAGTGATAGATACGTCTCTGTAACAAACCCACACGTTCTCACATCCTGCACAAAACTAATAGTCGTAGGCAGAGTAGAGTTAGTTTAAAAGGTGAATCATATTTGCCATTGTTTTCTAGGTTTATCGGTTAGCGGTGTGATTGACTTAGTTTTGGATGTTTTAACTTGTGCTACTTGTTCACCCTCTTACTNNNNATTTCGGTTACTTATTTCTGATCGATATTTCACTGAATCCTACAATTCAAAGTCCGAATCAGAAACGGAGTTCATCTGTGATAGATCAACGATCAAAAACTGAATTAAGTAATGAATTGACGCCATCGATCTGATGCAACACGTTTTTGTCGCCATAGAGATTCAAACTCGCACTATCCTGAGATAGCAATTTACTACTATTGGGACCGACGTAAGATGTGCGTTCGTGATAATCGTCAAGCCTGTTTGCCAGCACTGGCTGGTCTTACGTGCAATTCGTCGACTTCCTGCAACCGGTCATTTGTACCTGTGTTTTGAATGTTTGTCCATATTCTGTTCAGCAATCGACCTCTTCTTAGTCCTCTCAGATGCATGGCTGTAAACCCCACAATCGTATGACCGACCCCGTGGGAACCGACATATTTGGGCGTGATGATCACGTGCGGTTAAACAGATTGAAAGCTGCCGCATTGGGGTATAATCGAATCCGAAGTTTGGTGG